GTGTCAGCAGCACTCACAACTAGCGCCTGGGCTCCGAGTGTGCCTCCCCAGCCTCACAGCCAGCTCATTGAGCTTGTGGCACCGCTGGGTCCCTCCGTCTCCGCCCCCTGCAACGCCACGCACCGGGCCGCGCGAGAAAGTGAACGACGGGGGACCCTATAAAGGGCCGCCGCCCCGCGGCCTCGCGGTCGTCGCGGTCCTGCTCACCTCTTTGACGCTCTTCGGCGCCGGATCGGGAAGTCGCCGCCACCTCCCGGTCCTCTCTATACCCAGTTAGTTGGTGTCGCTGGGAGAAAGGTTCCCCCACCCCGCCCCGCCACGGTTTGCGAAGGCTATGATAATGCCTAGTCAATTGGGTGGGCCGAAAGGCGGATCACGGGCCTACCCGAGCCGAACGCCCAATTGGACACCAGGAGCAGCTTCAGCAGATAGGCCGGCGGCCCGCCCCGCCCCGCTCCGCTCGCTCAGATAGTCTCGCGGGCCTAACTGCCTTGGCCGCATCGCCGCCCGCCTCGGCACCTGCCCGCCTGCAGCCGGGGGAAATGACCGGCATAGGGCCTCGGAGTGAGCGGCCGTGCTCCGCATGTCGCGCTGCTCCCGCGCACCAGGACCGACGAGGACCGCCGCCTGCCCGAGGCCTGACCGGCATAGGGCCTCGGAGTGAGCGGCCGTGCTCCGCATGTCGCGCTGCTCCCGCGCACCAGGACCGACGAGGACCGCCGCCCGCCCGCCCGAGGCCGGCGCGGCAAAGTGATGACGGAGGAAAAGCGACAACAACAATGATATAAAAGGTGCTGGGCCGGGGCTGCCGTCGTGGCTGTTCTCTAGAAACTATTGGGGCGCGAAATGCGGCGGCAAACAGCGCGACACCTGGCGGGGCGAGGCGAGGCGGGGCGGGGCGAGCAGGAAACAACAGCGAACGGGGCGGGACACGCAGCGCTAATTAAACCGGATGACATGGACGCCCCGCTCCGCCCTGCTCCGCCCCACCCCAGCAATGCTGCCGTGCTTCCTTGGTCCGGCTGGAGGGAGCCTTGCCTGGCTCGGCTGGAATCGTCGTGCAATTGTCGGGTAAAACAGCGCATGTCGGCAGGCAGCAGGCCTTGTCTGGGAGAATCTCTGCTTGCTGCGCGCCCCGCCCCC